CACTCATTTATCGTCACATACAGGTGTAAATGCAATCATAAAGTCAAAACTTTATTGGCATAATTGTCAGGCGTTTACAGTATTTGCAAAATATATGGTAGCATATACTATCAACTAGAAGTTGTTCCCTCAATAGGATCTCATGGCCACGACATATTATCACGTTCCCACGAATTAATATCTCGTGGCCACGACAAAACTAAACCAAAAAGACTCGAGCTTCATTTAAAAGAAAAACTTAACAGTTACAATCATTTCTTAATTTATGCCAGGAGTTATGTAAATGAAAAACGAAGTCGAGATCGATATGAAGCTTGAGTCGTAGACCTTTTTAATGATGTAAGTTAGTTTATGAAGTTAATTGCATTCTTTAACATTAAAACTAGCAGTAACTCTGAACTCATGTAAACAAAGAACGCTTCTGTGCATTGGCGTCCTCCCACAGGTTAAGAGATTTTAAACAAACACATTTAGTTAACCAAATGAAACAATACACATTTTAATGCTATAAAAGTGTGCACATTGAGAGAAGTAAACAGCAGATGTTCATGTTAACAACTTCTTTAACTTGAGCAAACACTGCTAATACACATATGCATTTGTTAATAAAACGAAAACATGCATGTTTTAATGCTAGAGAATAAATGGAAACGATCCACCCACATGCCTCTGCTCAGCGATGGTGCCTGGATCAGTGAGCTGCGTCTCGGGCCGATGACGTCACTTCCAGGGAGGCATGCCCAGGCCTGTTGTACACGCCCCCGTCCCTTGACTCCACCCCCATGTCAAAACAGTGCCACAAAGCAAGACGCGCAGAAACGTGAAGCGCAAAGGGAAAACGGTATCGCAAGCTCAAACTTGACTGAAACGCAAAATAAAAGCTGCGTTGCAAATAAATTAGTAGATATGGCCATGGAAAATATGTATTGCAAAATCATCGCTTTTGTGCTGTTTCATTTATATTTTGCAATTCTTTATTTCTTTTGCAAAAACACATTTATTTTTTCTCAATACTTTTATTTTCGTTTGCAAAACTTTATTTTCTTTTGCAAAACTTTATTTTCTTTTGGTTCAACAGTGTACCATCACCCTCTAGAGGTGAAATAAGACAAGCCACTGGACTGGACTTAACTTCACACCGTTTGCTGTGAAGTGACAATGCTTTGTACATGAAGAGGATCTAAAATTTGGCAGAGAAAAGCTAAGGTATGTGTACAGCACGCGTTACTACATACTCATGGCTCTACATACAGTCATAAATCAACCTACTAGGAATTATTTGGGAATTTGCTTAAAACCAAGAATATATCTTAATATCTTAATTTGCTGTTTTGAATAAAATGACAAATTAGTGCACTTTGTGCAGTTCCAGTATGTTTTTGTTTTCAGGGTTGAGGGCAATCCAGCTTAATCAATTTCATCACGTGTGGGTTTTGTTTACTTAAGGGAGTGACAACCACAATTTTTCAAAGACTCTCAACCATATTTTTGTCAAAGCCTGCTGTATAAATAGAACTGTACTGCTCCACTCTTTACTGAGGTATAAAAGCTGTCGTCGATTAATTAATGATTAAAATGACATTGTTTTTTGACTTTGGCTAAAACTGGGTTTATTCATGCATTCACTCATTCATTCCATACCTGCAGATCTCCAGGGAAGAGACATCTCAGAGGAACTAAAAAAAAAAAAGAAACAAACAGAAAATAAGTTTATTTATGTTTCTGTCACATAAAATCACTGCCAAAACTGTGGAATGAGATGCGAGAGCCACGCCGGAGGATAATAACAAAATCTGCAATAGCAAAAGCTTTCACCTGACTTTTTGATATGGTTTGCAAAACGTTCATATGAAAGTCATTTTACATCCTTTAATGGTAAGAAAGTCACACAAATCTAAAGTAACATGAGGATGAGTTATCGATGACATCTAACAAGCCATAATGTAACAACAAAATTCAAGATATTATCAATAACCGAGCAGTACATACTGCTCTAAAACGGAGCAGGAGTGAGTGACATACAAAACGGTTTTTTATGAAATTCATGTACTTGTAAAAAATATCCCATGCACATGCATTTTGTCCATCTTCAGAATAAGTGATCATTTCAATGCTCTTGGTGCCAGTACCAAGTCTTGGTGCAGATTCTGCAGGTTTGAGGGCTGTAAATACCAAATATTAAACAAAACTAAAATCACATCAGATGCTCATTTTGTGATGATTTTATTGTCTCCAACAAGGAGCCGATAACACCTGATCTCGCTTTATTTTGGCCTCCTTTGCAGCAACAATTGTGTTTCACAAAGACACAGTTACTGCAACCAAAGAAAAGCTAACACAAGAAGCACGAGGACAAAGATTCCAACTAAAGCAAACACTGCCCAGCACAATGGTGACTTCAAATTAAACAAATATCAACATCTAAACATCGATTAATTCTCAATAAGAGCTTCTCTAGATGTCTGACAGAAATAAAGTCAATCTAATGAGTGAAGCTGGTGATGCTGTTTGTGGAGATGTTTGATCCTCCTCTGCTGAGATCTTGAGAGATTTAATGTCTTTTATTTGCAGTTGATTTTACCAAATGCTCAATCATCAGTTATTTGATCATTTAATTATCTCATAAACTTCAACACTGTTTCAGTGAAGATTCTTTTATTTTCTTGAGTTTTGGATAAACAGTGTCTGTGAGTTGCTTTGCAATTACAAATGGAAATTACATTGAAACAACATGAGTTTTAATTTAATGCATCCTGAGAGTGTTTATTTGGTCCAGAAACAGTATAAATTATGTCTAAATGAGGATGTTAAAAATGTTAAAAGATCAACATCTGATCCTCTGTAATTCTCAATAACAGCAGGTGTTCATCACTTAACTTGTAATTAAGGCAGCAGGTGAACTTTTGTTTCTAAGTTTAACCAACTTGAAATGTTTTACAGTGTGCACATACAGTATAATTACAGTACAGTACCAGTACATTAGATAATGGAAATTTAACAATTCTATATGTACAGTAGCACATGTTGTACACCTTCAAGCGTGTGACTGTCAAATTTTATTTGTAACCATTTTTATGTGTACTGCATTTTTGAAGAACTGAGAAATGACTGATATAGCATATAGCTAGTCTTGTGTCAGGAGACCAAGTTCATACAGTTTGAACTTTTCTAGTGCTTTCTGCAAGATTAAAGATTACTTTACCAAAAGTTCATTGCTGAATTATACATCTGTATCTGTAATTTAATTTATGTATACTGTAATAGACATTGAGCTGCAAAAATAATTCCTGAATCCTAGTAAGAGTTTTTGTTACAGTGTTATTGATCTCAGTATTCACTGGGCAGGAAAGTCATCTGTGTATTTGAATTGTAAGCATTTACAGTTTTTTTAACTGCTTACACACATAATCTTTACTTGCCACACAGTTTCTGAAACTCACACTCAAATAGCAGAAGCACGCTAAATCTGCAAAACCATACACTAATTCCCAGCCTTTGACTCAATTTCATAAAACACTTTTTGTAAAACAACACACAATTCTCTATGTAACACAAAAATCTAACAGGAATTAATATTATGGCAAAGGTGTTTGCAAATGTTTGCTTTTGAGATGTGTTTGTGATATTTTGAGTGCAGTGCTTCATTTTGCAAGAGATGTGAGGCATTTTCCATTTTTTGTGTGCAATTCTTGGATTTGTGTGTAAAGTTTTGAAAAAAAGAGGCAAAGTTTTGACAATGTGTGCAAGCAGTTGAAAAAAAACCTGTAAGAAAAACTGTAATAACTGCATCAAAAAGTTTGAAAGACAAATTTATGCTTGTCTTAAAGTCTTGTTTAAAAAACGTAAATGGTTTGGTCACTTAGATGTTCTTGATGTTTGCTAAAGTGTTGCTAGTTGGTTGCTAGGATATTCTGGGTGGTTGCTAGGCTCTTGCTATGCAGTTGCTGGGGCGGTGCTAGAGTATATGTTTGATAGTGTGTTCTGGGTGATTACAGATATTCCCACCTCAGTTCATTACAGAAAATCGGGGTGTTGCTAGAGTATATGGTTGATAGAGTTTGTTCTGGGTGATTACAGACATTCCCACCTCTGTTAATAACAGAAAATCAAATAGTTTCAGTGCTTTAATATTATTGTATTTCTTTCTAATTGTAGGAAATTCAAAAGTTTTTGTTGCTCTTAAACTAGCACTACATGTGATTATACCATCTAAGTAGCCTATGCAATTTTAATAGAACCGCATGTCTTCTTTGGTGATACAAGCTCAGAAACATTTTGTAAGATAAAGTTAATTTTGTAAGGGAATTAATTATTATTATTTTAGCTCAGGTTTTGAGAGGAATCGAATCTGAAGATTCGAAGTCAACCTGATTAGAACTGATTTCAAATTTGATAGT